CTTTGACGTACGCCTCGGAGACCTGGACTCTACGAAAGCAGGATGAGCATGCTGTCAGCGTTATTCAACGCGCTTTGGAAAGGACGATGCTTGGATTTTCCCCATACACGCAAGTGCAGAAGGGAATCCGGAGTTCCGAGCTCCGTCACCGAACGAAGATCGGGAATGCCGTTGATTACGCCAAGAAATCGAAGATCAGATGGGCCGGACACGTTATGCGATATAGTGATGACCGTTGGACCAGGGCGGTTACTGACTGGATCCCTCGGGACATCAAACGAACTCCAGGAAGGCCGCCAACGAGATGGTCAGACTTCTTCACGAAAGCTCTGAACGAAAGAAATGTTGAACCTCGTGTCCCTGAAGCGAGAATGATTCACTGGTCCACTCTGGCTCGTGACAGGGACGAATGGAGACGTTACTGGCGCCCGCTCGAGGAAGTCGATGATCAACGGACGACCGGTGATACAGGTGATACTTGTCTGGTGTCTAGGTGTCTCTCACACAAGCATACTATTCGTCAGCGTCCCAAGGCTTCATTGTTAATGGTGCAGCATAGGTCGTCATTCACGGCAACCTTCCGGTATGTACGTCGCCCAAGCCAGCTTTAAAGCCCCCCCGTCTCCTTTCTGAGTGAATAGAACATTCGAGAATGGTGAGGTCAAAAGTGACAGCAGAAGTAAAATGAAGGTCGGTATCTCGCTCCTATCGGAATCACTTGCTATTTCTGAAGCAGTGGGGGTAGGATGGGATCATTTTCACTCCTTATTACCACTTGAGAGGCGGTTAATCGGTCAGCGTCTGCCATTGGGGTTTGGGACGCTGTCTGACCATGACGCCCAGTATTCTCGTTACACTAGTGGTACGTTCCTAGATTGTAAAGCACGTACCTTAGGCTGTAGATGGCCCTGTACGTTAGGAAGACTTACGTTGATGTGTTACAGCACTTATCTTTACCTATATTACAAACTTGCATAATTATATGGAATAATGGATGCTGCAAAAAGAAACCTGTCAAGAAACCACCACCTCCGGTAGGTCTAGGACAACTTTCGGTTGTGCTAGGGTGAACTACCTCAGCGAAATAGGCAGTCAACGATCGATTTCGATGTTTAGCATGCTTGAACCTCTGAAAACCTCGTAACCATGCTGAGCAGCAGCCAGATGAGGTGTGAATACTTGATACTGGATTTCAGAACCAGTTTCAGAAACCGGAGCCGAAAATCGTGAAGAGTGCGTCGAGCAAAACATCATCAGGGCATCCGTCTCCATTGGCGACACCGCTATTTCCTCGAGAACTCCTAGAAATACCATTGGCACCAACCCAACCACTAGAGGAGGAAGTAGTGGTGAGGAAGACGTTGCTTGAATCGTAGGGCTTTAAAAAGGGCGGAATACAGGACTTGTAAAGAGCGTTGACCCTCACGAAAGCTACCACAGGTCTTTCACACGGCTTCGATCCTACCAGCAGAGGAAGTAGTAGTGGCAGTCACTGTTGCATCCTTCGAGTTCCTTAAGATCAGTCCAACCCAGGTCATACCCAGCTTTTTAAGATTAAATCCGAAAAAGAAGTTGCGCAAAGAAGCGCCTTTATGGCCAGGTGCTGTCCCACATCCCGGCAACCGCTCCAAAAGACTCATCATTTTCGTTTCCAGAGAACCTCCGAACACAATCACTTCATCGGTTGTTTTCCCCTCTACCCTCCAGAGTTTAATTCCCAAGGAAATATGATCCGATCCAAATAATCATTCCTGTCACCTACTTATACCTGCTGATCGACATTTCCTCGGACTATTCCCTAAGTCACTCAGTTATCTTAAATTTACTATTTCAGCCTCCGAACAGCCTTCAACAAGCAGAACTCAAGAAATCAAAGGATGACCAGAAGAAAGACAAAGAAGAAAGCCGAAAACTCTTGCCCTATCCAGAAGTAAAACCACCGACCGTCAGCCAGAAGAGACGAAGGCAACGTGAACTTGAAAAAGATAAACAAGATAAGATCGCCTCTGGTTTCTATCAGGTAAGAAGGAGGACGACCTTAAGATTCGCTGCCATTTACAGAATGAATGATTTCAGTCTCGCTCTGATGAGGATGATACCCTGGAGAAGGTGAACAGTCTGAAAGAAGAGAACACCGAAGTCAGTCGAAGGCGATCCATACATGTGAAGGCTAGGGATAAGGAAAGTGACAAGAAAGAAGTAGCCAAGGACGAGAAAGTTAAATAGCCGATCAGAATTTGATTTGTTACTGAAACGATACGTCAACTTGATGTACAAAAGATAAAATGCGAGTGTAGTGTACAATTTTATAGTTAGAAAATAAACATGGACTATTTCACAGTGCGAATACAGAAGGAAAGGAAAGTAATGGAACCTAGACCATTTAAGCTAGAGAAAATACATCTTTGTACAGTATCGGCAAACATGCCACCCATCAAATTCTGTGTATTCGTGATTACAATGCTGATATGTAGAAATCGAGGCGCTGAATTTTTTACTACCCTACAGTGCCACCTATCAGAAGAAGGAAATAGGCACCCCCATACTTGTTCGCTCTTTACCTATTCAATGATGACCAGTCGACTCGCCCGGCTGACAAGGGGCTCCCTCCTTCCCGTGTCAAAATGATCTCCCCGCCTGTACCACCCATCAAATTTTCCACGAGAACAGGAGCTATGAATTTCCACTCAAACCCCGCCCACTGGCCCAATGTGGGCGGGGTTCGGTCCTGCTGCCCAGCGTAGGCTGCTTTCATAGTCCACCGCCGTGCCAGCCGAGGTAGTGCTAGGGGGGAGGGGGCAGACGGTCGATCGATGGTGTCGCGTCGCGCCCAAGCCCCTTCGAAGGACTGAAAGCAAAGAAAAACAAGATCAAAAACCATTTGTACAAGCCCGTGGTTGTTTGGTTTTGGATCTTGTTTTTCTTTGTTTTCAGCCCTTCAAAGGGGCTTGGGCGCGACATGACCGCGTCGACCGACCGTCTGCCTCCTCCTCCCCACTACCTCGGCTGACACACCGACACGCCGGCATGCCGGCGAGCTATGAAAGCAGTCTGAGTGTTCCCATCGTGCCGCCTGCACTCCTACCATCAATGATGATCTGTTTAGGACAACTTCTGTAGAGTTTGATTACGGCGAGGCGATGTAGTAGCAAGTGCACGCATAGACCCTGGTTGGAGCTTGGAAAGATAATTACTCGACCAAACCTTCCATCATCCCTATGGACCTGCTAACGGTACAGGCTCGTCTGTGAGGATAAAAAACTGACCTAAACATGGGTTGGCCGCCGTAAGTTACATACGCATCCAAAAATGACCACGATTCCGGAAGAAGCTCGAATATGACACATCCCAGAAACAGGATTGATCCATCGGCTAATGCTTTATCATTATCCCTTTAGATTTCGGATTATTAGAAATTTCATCGAACCGATCTGTAGAAAGCCATCACTCATTGATCAGTGTACGAGAGCAAGGGAGGGAGAGTGAGAAAGAGGAACAGAGAGAGAGGGAGAGAGAGTCAGAGAAACAAGAAGTTGAAGGGAATGAGACCGGTTTGTTTCTCCGTGGAGACGGACCCCTACTGCTACATGGCAGTACACTCTGTGGGTTTTCAGGCTTGAAAGTGTGCAAATAAGATGAAAGCCTAAAAAGTAAAACCTCCTACTTCCCGCCGTTACTAGTCTAGCCCACCAATCAGTGGGCATGCATCACTTTCGAATCGTCTCATTTACAAAGAGAGAATCGTGCTCCTCTTTTGTATCGGTTTGGTACCTCTGCATGAGTCGGCCAAGATGGTTTTGTTGGAATACTCTGCTGTATTACTGAACTCCTTCAAAACCCTGCCCACTTCACGGTCTATGGCCTTCAGGTTGCAATCTTGTGCTTTTGTGGTTGCTTTTTTTTATTCCAACATGTGAATGCTGAAGAGAATACCACAAATAAAAAAAGTCCACGAAACTACCGTCCGGTGTGTGGTGGTTATAGAGGGTTTTGCATAATTTACTTTTCCTTGAAACTTGGTTGAAAATCGTGTGTGGGTTGCAGAAATCCATGAAAGTTCATTCAATAAACACAAAATGAACGCTATTTAAATACATTTTAAATCGATAAATGGTCATGGTTCAATAACGTAGTCTTGTCACATAAAGCATATTTTAAATGCACTGTTTCTACTGAATATCTCTAATTTGGTTCGAAATGTGGTCTCACTGGCCTGACCTGGTGGCCTTCGACGATTCCTTCCCGGACACGTCAGGTGATCGTACCCGTACTAAACTCTTTTTTGGATTTTTTGGTGGTGATGGAGTAAGTTCTTGCTGTCTACCAGGCATAGGTCCCCCCACTTTCAATCCTTCTCTTGGAAACGGTGATGGAGATGACATCCCCTTTCTGGGAACACCTCTTGGTAGAAGATAAGGAGGCTGTTGTCCAGATTGAAGCCCCTTCTCCTTAGAACTTTTTCCCGATAGCGATAGCGAAGACGGTTGCTCGCCTTTGAGACTTCCTTCTCCTCGACCAACAGAGCGCTGCTGTCCGGGTAAGGATCCTTTTTCTCTTGAACTCTTCGTTAACCTAGGTAATGGGGGCGGCTTTTCTTTATCGGGAACCTTCTTTTCTTTACTGATGGAATGTTGTTGGTCAGATGGAGTTTGTTTTGGCCCGAGTCTTTTTTGCGTCCGTTGGGTTTTTGCTGATCTCATCGATGACGTCAATGGATTTTCAGTTGTCTTTTCTACAGCAGTACCCTTTCGTTGCTTTGATGATGAATCAACATCCGGTGATTTTGTCGGGATTCCCTCTGCAGAAGCAGTTGAGAAATCCGGTGAGCCATCCTTTTGAAAGAGCTTGGGCAAGCTTGTATCGGATGGCTGCGGTTTAGGTGGCAGTGTGAGGCGAGTCCCTGTAATATGATAACTAGTCCATTGTCCTCCTTTGTTGAGATGGATTTGGAAGTATTAAAGGCACCGTTCACGATAATTTTGGGTAATCCAGATTATGATGAAAAATGGAAGATAATTTCGAAACTAGTGCGAATGAGGTGAAGAAACTGCGTG